GAAATTGATGGCTTAGAACTTGGGCATCCGATTTCTCCTATATTGCCATCCATATAATATATACTAAATTCTATATATATATATATATTATATAATATATAATAGGACTAGGAAAGCTCAGGCCAACATGCAAGTTTCAAAACAATTGTATTTATATATATAATACTATAAAATAAATGCAATATCAGATAATGCAAATTAAATTCCGGCCGCAGGCATTCCAAACAGTTTGCCCATTTCGAAAAAGTTCCTAGAGCACCAACTAATTGCATTCATATATATAAACATAATTATATATATCAGCTTGTTTTTATCCTACAGCCCCAATTTTGGAGGCCAGTTTGCAATTGGTGCTCCAGCCACATCTATATATTACATATATAATATTAAGCTTTCAACAAAGCCCTTTCAGCCCCAATTTGCAAAATTTCTTAAAGCACCAGCTTTATTCGGCCGCCATTCAACTCCATATGCCCATATATGCATATATATAAAATAGGGCAATGACAGCCCAGCCATCAGCCGCACTTTTTTGCCCAAATACACATATATTAATACATATATATGTTTGATTCCCGCCATAGCATTATATTATATTAACATAATATAATATGTATGTATATATAATAGGTCAATCAAGCCTCCAACTTAAAAAAACCCTTTTGGCCCAACTTTGGAGATCAAACAACAAGCTCCAGCCGCATCCATTCGAGAAAAGCTGGGCGCATTTCCTTGGGCAACAAAAGTCCGGCCGCATAAACCCATTCCGAGCCCGGCCACATTTTTCCAAACCTGCCCCGCCACTTTCAAGGCCTTCCAGATCTACCCAGCCGCACCTTCAACTCTATCCCGACCAACTCTCGTGCCCGGGTGGATTTCTACCACCCTGTTCGGTTCATTTTTACACATGATTTTTCATGTTATTCACATATTATTTTGAGTTAGTTCTTGACATTTTATAGCTTTTTACTTCCTTTTTGTGTTTTCTTAGATTTTACCTTGGTTAGAATGAAAATGAGCTAAAAGTGCATTATTGGTTATAAATTCTGATTTTGTTCATTTTCGTAGGTCAACTTCTTGGCCTTGGATCAGCATGCTCTGGTGCTCGGATGAGGTGAAGATCTTCATGAAACTTGTTCCAATGGATGTTGACTACAACATATCCAAATTTGAGCTCCATTGGACAAGTATTGCCTATCCAACCAATCCAGCATGTTACCACAGCTCTGGAAATCCGAAATTGGCCAGCTTTTACCTCCATTGTGTCATCTTGATTCTTCTTGTTACCATAACACTTGGTAACAAGAAATTACCTTGGTTAAGAGATATTTTCAGAGGCAAAGAGCATATTTTCAATGACAAAGCCCCATCATGACAAGGGGACAAAGGCAAAGGCTTTAACAAAAGCAAGACTTTTATATTAAAAGTATGAGCTGGAAATGATGGGCAAGAGAGTGCAATCTGAA